CAAAAATATATTGCTGGTAATATTTTTTTTTCAAAAATATATTGCTGGTAATAGTTTTTTTTTTCCTCAAAAATTTATTTCTGGTAATAATTTTTTACAAAGTATTTCTGGTATTAAAACCTATTTTTACACATTTATAATGCTTTTTTTTGTTTCGAGATTAAATATTTACCCATAGCTGGAACCCTAACAGGTGCTACCACCCCGGGTCAGGGTGGACCCGGGAACACCACCAATTAAGAGGTGGTTCCACGTTCCTTAAAACCTCCTGATCAGAGGCCTTGCTGTTGGACGTAGTTTATCGTCTTACACTGGACACGGATGTAGTTTATCACCATACCCAGGACGGTGCCTTTCTTTGACACCGCTATTATTTTAAAACTACTATCACTCCTCGGCCTCTTTTAAAAAGCGATGATTAAAATTTTAATAGAAGCTAAAGATATTTCTATGTTCTTGAGAATTGACAATAAAAATAATAAACACTATTTATTTATTGGCTTGTGCATCACTATTTATTTGTTATGTTGTTTATAGGAATGGTTGATAAAACTAAGTGACTAATTGTCAAATGATTAGAACTTTATGAAATGGTAAATAATGAAGATTTCCTTATAGTTGGTTCTCATATTTTAATACTTTAGTAAATGTTTATAAATTAATGAAGAAAAAATGTTTTTATATTTATTTCTTTATAAATTGGTAAATGATATTGGTTTAATTCTAATCGTTTTTAGAATTTTGTAAATATAAAATTATTCTTGTAAATAAGCAATGTAATAAGTAAATAGTGTTTATTATTTTTGTTGTAAATTCTGAAGACCCCCCCCCAAAAAAAAAGAAGTATAAATTTACCTTTATAATATATTTTGGTTTTATTAAAATACTAATCTTCGTTTTTTTTTTTAAACAGTAAACTGAAACATCGCCGAAGAGTGAAGGTAGATAAAAAAACGGTGTCATGAGAAAAACCGTCCCTATTAATATTTTTTCTTTTTGCAAGCCCGAAGGTCTAAGTTTGTCAAAATAAGTTGCAATTTTCTATTTTAATATTTTCATTTTATTAACGTATCTAGTCGAATACAATGCCTTTTTGTTATATCTCTGCTACCTTAATATGAATCTACTTCAAGAGATACTTTCAAAGATCTTTTTAATCAAATTTGTCGGTCTTAAAGAGTGACATGAGGATGGAATGTAGTTAAAATAAAAGCTGCGTCAAAAGGAAAACGGTTTTTTTTTTGCAGGGTCGTTTGCCAATTTTTCTTTGTATTATGAACAGAATTGAATGTTTAGTAACAAGAAGTAACCTATAGAAAAATATTGATGATTTTCGAGTACATTTTAGCTTGAATTAAACTTTACGTACGGCTTCAAGCAACATCTTTCAATTTGTTGGTAGAATATCCACTTAACATTTAAATTTACGTTACATTTGACGTACGACTATGCAACACCTGTCGATGATCTTTTTGCGAGCACGAAGGTACAAATTTGCCAAAATGAGTTGCAATGTTCTATTTTAATATCCTCATTTTATTAACGTATCAAATCGAATCTGATGCCTTTTCGTTATATATTCATACCCTTGACATGAATCTACTTCAAAAGCTACTTTTAAAGATCCTTTTAACCAAAATGGTCGGTCTTGTAGAATGACATGAATTTAATTGAACAGAAACTGAGGGCGGAAGGTAGTTAAAATAAAAGCGTCGTCAAAAGGAAAACCGTTTTTTTTTTGCAGGATCGTTTGTAAATTTTTCTTTGTATTATGAACAGAATTTAATGTTTAGTAACAAGTAAGAAGAGACCTTAAACATCAGTAAAATATTGCTGATTTTCGAGGACATTTTAGCTTGAATTAAACTTTACGTACGGCTTCAAGCAACATCTTTCAATTTGTTGGTAGAATATCCACTTAACATTTAAATTTACGTAACATTTGACGTACGACTATGCAACACCTGTCGATGATCTTTTCCAAGCCGTTTCGACTTTTTTCGATCATTATATTATCATTTAAAAAAAAAGAACAAATGTATTGTCATATAAAGGCTGTAGAATTTATTATGTCTACGAAGAGACGAAACAAAAGTGACTTGAAAACATAAATAATATTATTTCGTTGCTACTTTGATCTTAAACCATTTATTCTTGTGTATTAAATACAATTATGAGCTTTCTGACCATGAGATCCGGTTTAGAATGTCACTATGATCGATTTGTCAGAAAGGAGACCTCGTGATGTTATCGGACTGGATTAAGGTCGATCCCGGCGTGCGGCACCTTTGGAGAGTGTCTTAAAACGATACCACGGGTTGACCCAAGCCTTGTGAGGGAAATTGGGTAGACGGAACTCTTGGGGTCCGTCGATAGCTGTGCTAGCCACAAGTCATCCTGGCCGAGGGCATGAGCGTGCTGGCCTAGTCCACGCTAGATAACACGCTCTTTCCCAGAAACTGTAACTAAGGTATGCTCAGTATAGTTGCAGTATAAACCGCAGGTGGGCTCTGTGGGTGGTGGGAAAACACAAATGTGCCTGAGCGAGCGTCTGCAATAGTCTCTATTATTACGTTAAATTGTGTTTAATATTTTTTTATTACGTTTACTTATGTTTGATATTACGTTTTGTATTACATATACATGTGTTTATTATTACGTTTATTTTTACGTTTACTTGTGTTTAATATTACGTTTATTATGTTTATTATTTCGTTTACTTGTGTTTAATATTACGTTTATTATTATGATTATTATTACGTCTACTTGTGTTGATGTGTGCGTTCGTAGTTTGTTAATTTATTTATTATTTACTTAATTTATTTTTTTATATATTGATTTGTTTTCTTACTTTTGTTTTTAATTTTCGATTTTTAACTAACCGAGCAAAAAATTTAATTTCATGTCTACATTTTGAAAGTTGTGATTTTATTTAGTTTATTTAGTAAATTGTATTGGTTTAGGAAGGTGATTATAGCTATTTTCTCCTCCAGACAAAGTTTACTGTTTTTGCATTTATTGTTTATAATAACCTCATCCACATGTAAAAAAAAAACAAAAAAAAAAAAGATTAAAAATAATGGCAGCCTTAATAATAAAAAAGAAAAAAGCCAACACTTAATAAAATTAACTATAAACACGCCTACAATATACTGACCATGTTTGGAAAATAAAACATTCCTATAACTCTACATATATACATAAAACTTTCCATACAGTCAGTTGAAAGTAAAAAATAAAAGTACAGCCGAAAGACCTAGGATATGCAGAACTTTTGGCCAGGTTTTACACACTGTGTCTAGAGAACAAAACACTTGTACGAGCACAAGAAAAATTATATAAAAGCTTAATTGCAGTACCTTGTCAGTCGTTTTTAACGAAACAGACACACACACACACACACACACACACACATATATATGTGTGTGTGTTTGTTGCTTACTTTAACTATTGTCAACGTTTCATTAAAAATATAGCAAAATTTAAACAATATATATTTAAACGAAATATATAAATATATACTTTATTGTCAACGTTTCATTTAAAATATAGCAAAATTTAAACAATATATATTTAAACGAAATATATAAATATATACTTTAACTATTGTCAACGTTTCATTTAAAATATAGCAAAATTTAAACAATATATATTCAAACGAAATATATAAATATGTTTAAACAAGTTGCATTTAATAAATCTTTGAAGGCCAATCGTATTCGTGAACGTAGAGTCAATGTGGATACCACGATCCTTTTATTAGCGACATAGTATGTGCTTCGCCAAGGACACATACATTTTTCAAATCCAGACTTGTCCTCCAAGTAGACTGGTTACCACCCAAAGCTGAAGAGCTCAGTCTGCACTACTATTTAACACATAGATTGTGCGATTCATAGATTAATAACTTTCCCAGCTTATATGTGGCACAAGGATGCAAATATGGAGCACCCACTGAGTATGGAACTCATTTCTACTTCTATGTGCCGTGCCCGTTCAGTATGTCGGTGATCATTGCTCTCCACAATTTCCAGTCTTTTGTAACTCTTAATAAATATTTCTCATTTTGTTATGTCTCCTAAACCTTGTTCCAACATTTATTCAAGATTCTCCGGTAGGTTTATGCGTTCTTTTCCTCTACCCCCTCTTGCCTTCAATATGTTCTGTGAGTATCTGATTTTCGAAGCCTTCTTTCCTCAGTGCTTCAGAAATTTCAACTCTCTCTTCTTGTTGTTAAGTATAAGTGATGGTTTGGTTTGGTTTGGTTTGGTTTATTTTACGGCATATCAACCTCAATGGGTTATTTAATGCCGATGAGATTTTTATTGCTAGTAATATTTTTGTTCAAAAATGTATTGCTGGTAATATTGTTTTCTAAAAATGTATTGCTGATAATATTTTTCTTAAGAAAATTATTGTTGGTAATTTTTTACTTCAAAAATGTATTGCCGGCAATATTTTTTCTTCTAAAATGTATTGCCGGCAATATATATATATATATATTTTTTTTTTTGTGGAACCACATTTTTGTTGCTTCAATTTTATTCTTCATCTATGAAGAGATTGTCGAGCATTACTACTTAGACGTAATTGATCTAGCGAAACTATCTTGTTAACCATTACGCCACATCCAAGTGCTCTGTATATCAGTATTTAAATTCCCAACAACACATATGTATTTTTAAACAATTCACCCCAAGCAAGGCGATAAAGCTACTAAGACGAAAGGGGTGACTGGTAGTGAAAGCAAAGAAAGTCTTTACAAGGAACCGGAAACTCAATCATAGTATTATTTCATAGTTTAGACGGAGGCGTTAGAAATATAGAGTTGAAATAGAATTTAGAAGGAACCAGAAAACCAATTCTAAACAGGAAAAAGTGGTAAACCTCAACTCGTGTCCATAAACCGGAGAGGAGTGTAAACCGGGAAGTCGGTGATAAAACTATGTATGTAGCAAGGATATAAGAAAATGAAAATATTGAATTAAGGAAAATCTTGTTCAGAATGAAAGAAGGAAAAGAGAAGAAAGAAAGAAAGAAAGAAAATAAGAAAAAAGAAGGAAAGACAGAAAAAGAAAGACAGAAAAAGAATGAAAAAACAAAGAAATAAAAAAGGAAAAGTAGAAAGAAAAAGAAATAGAAAGAAAAATGAAGAAAATAGAAAAAGAAAATAGAAAGAAAAGAAAGAATGAAAAATGAAAAAAGAAAGACAGAATAGGAATGAAAAAGAAATAAATAAAAATGAATGAAAATGAAAGAAGGAAAAGAAAGAAAAGAAATAAAGAAACAATGAGAAATGAAAAAGAAAAAAAGAAATAGAAAAAAGACAGAAAGAAAGAAAAAGAAAGAAAAAACATGAGAGAACGCAAGAAAAAAGAAGGAAAGAAAGAAAAAGATAACATGAAAAAATAAAAAACAAAGAAAAACAAAGAAAAACAAAGAAATAAAGAAAAAGAATGAAAAAAATAAAAATAAAAAAAGTAAAGAAAGAATGAAAAAGGAAAGAAAAAAGGCAGAAAAGGAATGAAAAAGAAATAAAGAAAAATGAAAGAAAGAAAAAGAAAGAAAGGAAAGAAATAAAGAAACAATGAGAAATGAAAAAGAAAGAAAGAAATAGAAAAAAGACAGAAAGAAAGAAAAAGAAAGACAAAAACATGAGAGAAAGCAAGAAAAAAGAAGGAAAGAAAGAAAAAGATAACATGAAAAAATGAAAAACAAAGAAAAACAAAGAAAGAAAGAAAAAGAAAAAAGAAAGAATGAAAAAAATAAAAATAAAAATAAAAAAGTAAAGAAAGAATGAAAAATGAAAAAGGAAGAAAAAGAAAGACAGAAAGAATGAACAAGAAAAAAGAAAGAAAGAAAAAGAATAAATAATGAAAAAAAGAAATAAAAAGAAAAAAGAAAGAACAAAGAATGATAAAGGAAGAAAAAAAGAAAGAATGGAAAATGAAAAAAGGAAGAAAAAGAAAAACAGAAAGAATGAACAAAAAAAGAAAGAAAGAAAAAAGAAAGAATGAAAAATGAAAAACAGAAAGAAAAAGAAAAAGAAAGAACAAAGAATGATAAAGGAAGAAAAAAGAAAGAATGGAAAATGAAAAAAGAAAGAAAAAGAAACACAAAGAAAGAATGAACCAAAAAGAAAGAAAGAAAAAGAAAGAATAAAAAACGAAAAAGAAAGAAAAAGAATGAAAAAGGAAGAAAAATGAAAAGAAAGAAAAAGAAGAAATAATGAAAAAGAAAGAAAAAACAAAGACGTGAAAAGAATGAAAAAGAAAGAAAGAAAAAGAAAGAAAAAGAATGAAAAAGGAAGAAAAAGAAAAGAAAGAAAAAGAAGAAATAATGAAAAAGAAAGAAAAAAAACAAAGACGTGAAAAGAATGAAAAAGAAAGAAATAAAAAGAAAGAAAGAGCGTGATAGATTTTACAGCTTGGCTAAATAACGAGAAGGATGTATAAATCAATAGTCATACACGGAGCAGAATAGTTTTATCAGTTTACAAGGTCGTTGTGCTTAAATTCAGTGCGCCTTTCTGCTTGTTCACCTGTCTACCTATTTACTCTCTCTCTCTAATAACAACGTGGAGAGATTTTTTTTTAAAGTACACCCTGAGACGTTTACATATCTTTGTACCATCATCGATTCAATTTACGTAACACTACTAACCCTCGAGCCTATAAGGAAAACATTCAAGTTTAAAAAATATATTGTTTGCTTAAAACCCAACCGCCCAGCAGATACATATAAACAGGTAAATAATTCTTCACCATTTTTAGTATATAATTGCTCGCTTCCATTTTCTTATGTTTTTATTTATACTTTTATTTAATCTTTATTTTTTATTTGAAAATTTGATATTGTTTTCGCGGGAAATAATCTGTTTACTTCAGTCCACATATAAGAAATTATATATTATTTTCAGCAATTTACACACGTGCTGTTTGACACGGGGACATATGTTTACAAATAAACATATTTGACAAGACATTACCGTGAACGGTTAATATCGCTATATATTTTTTCTGTGTGCTGTGTACCGTATCTCTTCAAGGCATGGGTGTTCATGGCTCTCTACAACTTTCTATCCTTTATAGCTCTAGTTAATGTCTTTTCAATATCAATCCGATTTCACGCTCTGTCATTCTAGTGAGATTACTCGCTATTTTTCTGTGTTTTTCTTGTCTTCCATATGTCCTGTAGGCGTCAAATTGTCCAAACATTCTTTTCTAATTATGTGTCTCTCCGGACCTTGAACAATATCTGTTTGATCTTATGCCTACCGTTCGTCTATGCTTAGAGTTATGTAGAACTCCTTGATAAAATCCAAAGAAGAATCAGCAATATTTTTAGTCCTGATCTGGCGTCTCGGCTTCAGTCACTTTCCCACCTCCGTAAAGTTGCCTTCCTGTGGTAACTGCTCGGACGAGCTCTTAGCTATGATGTCCAGACTCTTCGAATTTAAGCACAGTACTAGACTTGTGACGAGGTCTCAACAATTTACTAACGAGCTGGCTTGATGTAACCGTAAATTATACGCTGTTTCTTTTCTCACACTTCTCGCTTGTGAAACTCCCTTCCGGCCCCATGCTTTGCAGCCAACTTTAATCTGGAAAAATTTAAATGCAATGTCAATCGCTATCTACTATCCCGATGATTACTCTTCTTTCGTTCTCGCTCCTTAGAAATGTTCCTCTTTCTAACTCACACCCAGTAACGCCTTGCGTCTTGGTCGGCTTTACCGCCTTTGCTTGGGGTGAATTTGATATAAAAAAATTGTAATTGTCCTTTCTCTTTCTATTTTCCCTAAAATTTCCTCATTGCTCATATGATCCGTCCATGCTATTCTCAGCATTCTTCTATAGAGTGACTTCCATGTTGCCTCAAGTCTCCTTTCCATTAGTCTAGTATTCACTGCCATAGCGGAGGATTCAGCACTCTTTTCTTTTTCTGTTTCTATCGAAAACTTCTAGTTTCTTAGTATTTTGTTTAGTTTCTGGAAGACATCTTTGAGATGTTGTGAGACGGAGGCTGGAAAGAGAGTTGGAAGCAGTTATAGAAGCAAAGAGATTAGAGAGAGAATATTGGTAAAAAGATCATAAAACCAAAAATGGGAACTTGTTTGAGAAACCATTTCTACTTGTTTCATTTTGAGATGGACCAGGTATAAAGAGTGAATTTTGGGGTGATGTAAAAGAGAAAAAAATCTTATATATATTTTGCTATTACATATATTTCATTCATCTGATTTTTACATTATGTTTTGGTTTATCTAAAGTTATAATTGCCAATTTTGATTTTTCTACTTTCATTTGGGAAAGGTATGGATCCTCTTCTTCTTCCCATTAGCTATGGATAAATAGCAGAGTAGACCGGGTTCCATAGCATTGGATGACAACTGTTCTATCGCAGAAATAAATGGCAACCTAATGCGAGAAAAGTTCTGCCTCGTCAGTCATGTATCGAAAGATACATGATCGCCTAAGCGTGTATCACGCATGACACATAACTGACTGAATTTCATTTATTTTTTATCAATTGATTGTTAATACTATAAAAATACAGCATAGATTATTTTTTATTGTATGTTATAAATAATGGCTTTAAAATCGAGCATTTTAGGCTTAAATCTTGATTCATATTTTTGTTTTGCTTTCTTCCATCATTTTCCAGAATTATCCAAATTTTTGATAATTGTGTTTGTTTATTTATGTACAGCACATTCGTAATTTGTCTCGCTTTCTAGTGTTTTTGTTTATATAACATCATGGGAAACTGACTGAAGTTGAGATGCCATATCATGATTGATATCATTACAGAACATCCTTTGGATTTTGTCGGGAATCTCTAGATATGTAGCCAGAGGACCAAGCCAGATATGGCAGCAATATTCAATGAACAGAGGAACGGTAGATTTATAAATGTGAAAAATGAATTCTGACAAGAAAAATTGACTGTCACGACAGTGAACCAACCTTCTTAGCAGCAGACGTAGCAATTAATTTGATCGCACCAAACGTGGCACCACGAAGATATAATGAGTTGACCTCCTGGAAGTTAGCATCAGTTATGCTGAAAGACGGCAAAAATGGTTCTTTATGATGATTAAATGAAAGCAATCTTGTTTTGGAGGCGTTAAAATTTACACGTCATTTCTTGCCCCGGTTAACAACTGATTGGAGGTATTTTTTGAGACCAGCTCCCAGTTTTACTTTATCAGACTTCTCAGATTTACTATTAAGATAGGAGTTAATCGTTGTCATCAGAATAAATACCTAAATCTGTTAAAAGTACTGTATCTGGCAAGACACAATGAACCAATTTTGATAGCAGAAGACGTACAAATTAATTCAACATAAATGCACCACTTCATGCCAGTGAAAAATGTGAAGCCAAGAAGGCACAATGTGTTTCTCTCTCCTGGTGGTTAGCATCAGCCATTCTGATAGAGGGCAAAAATGGTTCTTTATGATGATTAGAGGTTTATCAGTTATATATTAATGGCGTTAAAATTTACAAGCCATTTCTTGCCCCGGTTAACAACTGATTGTAGCTTATTTTCGAGAAGAGCTGCCATTTTTATTTTATCTGATTTTTACTTTCTGTTTTTGCTTACCTAAAGTTATATTTATGAACTTTGCTTCTCCTCTCTCATATATTTCAGTTGATAGTTTAGGCGTTAGTACTACCAAGAAAGAAGTATAGATTTGTTTTTATTGCATGTCATAAATAACGACTTCATAATCTCCGAGTATTTTAGGCTTAAATCCCGTTTTATATTTTTTCTGCTATCTTTTTCTACAGTTATAAAACTTTTCGATATTTGTATTTATTTATGGGCTATTCCTTTGAAATTTGTTTTGCTTTCTAATGTGTTTTTGTTCATCTGACGTTATAACTATTTAAAAGGAAAACATTAATTTTTGGGGAGCTTCTAAAAAATGTAATGTTAATACATATAATTTAAAGGTTGGTATAGACGAAGGTGGTATTTAACAAAGCTCCTTTCTTTTATGTGCCGTGTCCCTTCAGGACGTAGGCGATCATGGCTCTCCACTTTCCCCTACCCCTTGTAGTTCTCAGTATGTTTTATCCTTTTGCTACTTCTCCCAAATACTGTCATCCATTTTCCTAAGCCTGTTAGGTACGTCACACGTTGCTTTCCCTTATCTCTCTTTCCCTCTATCCGCCTTGTGAGTATCAGATTCTCCAAGCCCTATTTTCTCATTACGTGTCCCAGACATTTTAGCTGCCTCTTCCTGATGTTAAGTATACGTTTCCTCCTTGTTTGCATCCTCTAGTAAACCTCATCGTTACTTTATCATATTCTGATTTTTCAATATTACTAACAATGTAAATATAGTCCATTTGGTCAGTAATAGTCTCCATGGTATTTAACCATCTACTAATCCCTTGCTCCTGAGCGGTGTAATGGACAAGCTCCTACTATCTATAAAATGGTCCCATGGCATTCATTTCAAATATCCTCTGACAGATGATCAGCTCCTGACGAGAGAAAGGGTGATGGCAGGCGACTGTTATCACTTAATCAGCTGCTTTGGAAAGATAGAACTCGTCAGCTCGGGAATGTAGTCCATCTAGGGGAAAGAAAATCCCGATTTTAAGCCTCTGCTACCCTGAGGCCATATCCAAAACAGGGAAAAGGCCATGGAAGTAAATTCAGAGAGAAAATCCGGAGTGGAGTTACGAAGACAGTTGTATATCCACACTAACAAACTACTGCCCCGAATGTGATGACTAGTAATTCCGTGGATCTGGTTGGTACGACCGAAAAAAAGTATATGTGGTCAAGGCAGCCCTCAGCCTCCATATATCCTCGCCCCAATCTTTTTACTTTACACTCAATAAGTGGGTTATGCGTTGTCTTCATCTGTCTCTCTTGCCTTCAGACTGTCCTGTGAGTATCATATTTTCCTAGTCCTATTTTCTCATAATGTGTCCTACCACTTAAGGACGGATTTTTGACCAATCATGGCGCTACCGTTATCACGTGAGATCAACGGATGTCTACATATACTATGTCTCTGGAAGTCTTTTGAAGGCCATATACTCACGCTGACCCAAAAGAATATTTTAGCTATATTTTACCTCTATATATTTTACTTATATTTACATATATTTTACCTATATATATATTTTACCTATATATATGTTACCTATATTTTACCTATATATATATATATATATATATATATATATATACCTATATTAACATATATTTTACCTATATATATACCTATATATATATGTTACCTATATTTTTACCTATATTTACATATATATTTACCTATATATATTTTACCTATATATATATATACCTATATATATATATATATATATATATATATATATATATATATATATGTGTGTGTGTTACCTATATTTTACCTATAAATATTTTACCTATATTTTAACGTATTTATTGCATGAGATTTTGTATATTGTATTTGTTACAAAAAATGTTAAGACACTAGTCAAGGAACGAATTTCATCCGATTTAAATGCTGTGTGATTAGAGAGAGTTGGAAGCAGTTAGAGAGACAGACAGACATAGAAAGACATAGAGACGGAGAGAGAATGAGAGATAAAGAGGGAGAGGGGGAAGAGGGTGAGAGAAGAAT